GAGGGCCAGACATGTTCCATAAGTTTGGGTGGTCTGGTTGCTCTGACTTGCGAGGGTTGTTTGAGGTTGACTTTTTAGGGACCAAGCATTGCCCCATGAGTTTGGGTGGCTTGGTTGCCTTGCTTATTTTGAGTTTTCTCAGTTTCTTTTTGTTTTGAACGAGGGGGTATAAGCATGTTCCATAAGTTTGGGTGGCTCAACCTCTTCCTGCTTTACCATTACGAGAGTGAATCGGACAAATGACCAAACATGTTCCATAAGTTTCGGTGATCTTGGTCCAATGCCCCGCACATGCTGGAACCAAAAGGTTACAATTTGACTATATTTTACTACTACCTTATCTACGAACAGGCTAGTCAGACATTGTTCCATAAATTTGGTTGGTTTGACTATAGCTTATCACAGTTGAAGAAAATATTAAGGAAGCATAAATTTGTGGTAAGAAGGGGCAGGCTGAACCTCGAGCTAAGATGATCGGTTCAATCATATGCTACCTTAAGAGATTGTGCATATAATTATATATAACTTGGATACTTAAACATTTCAGGGCGACTAAGATGGACAACCGGTCATGTGCCCAAGGAAGAAAAAAGTTGTAGTGCCCTCTTTTTGTGTATAATCAATGGCTGAGCTAGACATTGTTCCATAAGTTTGGGTGGTCTAGCTTTACGCCTTATGTAATCTGGGTATAAGAGACAAATCATTAAAAAACTATGAACTGTTTGGCAAGGTTGATTTTTTGTTGGTGATAGTACTTACATTTGTGGTTTGATCTTGCATGTGGTTGAGTGAGAGTACTGTTTAGTCTAAGTTTCAGTTTGACAGATAGTTGCTTTAGATGCTCACCACGTGCTAGAGCTATAGGAGTTAGTTCAATTTCTGCATTTTCTGAGCTAAGTTTTTTCTTAGGTCGACTCTCGTATTTTTTGGGATTATCTTGGCTTTGTATAAATCTCAGTAAGCTACTTTCTCTACGGAAAGCGCTGCGAAAATTTTTACAAAGCCAAAGAGTTATTCATATTTTGACTCTTCAAAGTTTAAGCTTGTCTAAATTTTATGTATGGCTTAGTAAAAATTTGAAAAATTCTATTTTCTAAAAGAAATTATGCCAAAAGTTTTGCTAAATCAGAGAGTTAGACAAAATTGAACTTTGGGAAACTAAAGTTATTTATACATTTAAACTTAGCTTTGTATAAATTTTGGAAAGCTACTTTCTCTACGAGAAGCGCTGCCGAAATTTCTACAAAACTAAGGAGTTAGTTAAATTTTGTCTTTGCTAAACTCAAGCTTTACTTAGAGTTCTTATCTGACTTAGTATAAATATGAGAAGTCTACTTTTAAACTTTTCTAAAGGAGATGCTGCCCAAATTTTTACTAATTTAGGGAGTTAGACAAAACTTGACTTTTCAAAATTAGATATTGTTCCTGTTTTCATATTTGAGCTAATATAAATTTTGAAAAGACGTTTTTCCTACGGGAAACACTGCCGAAATTTTCTTAGTTTAGAAAAGGTAGATTTAATTTTTGACCGGTAGCGATATTGGCAATCCACCCTGTAAAGGGGAGATTATGTCAAAGATCTGCTTTTTCTTGGGGCATTGACCTAAGGGTAAACTTAGTTTTATTTAGCAGACATTATCGAGTAAGGATGTGCTATGAAGATTTATTCCCCATACATTGATGATCTAGTTTGGGCATGGACTTGTCCTATTGTACATGTCTTTTCGATTGTTTCAATTGGGCATCTTCTGTTATCACTGATAACAGGTCGGTTGCCGATTCGTCGGTCTACGACTCGACTCCAATCCATCCTCAATACTCAACCTAAAAGGCTTTAGCCCTGGTGGTTTCTATTGTTTTGTTAAGGTTTTCATCCGGACTTTTATTGAATGGTCATTTAACGAAGGTGCTGAGTGTTTATTTTTGAGAGGTTGGACAAAGGTTGAGGCTTGCATGGCTAAAGCAAGGGGTACGAGTATAGAGAGTGGTTAGAGTTGACCCGGTGTAGTGCGTGAACCTTTGTTGATTCTTTTATGTGATCGCACATATGCTTTGTGATTCGGACTTTGGATTTGACTACTTGCGATCACATACATATATATGGCTGAGGGGAGTCCCACTATGATTGTGAGAAGTGATCGTCACATATTTATTCCCCTGTACACATATACGTACATACATATGTTTGGGTGTTCACGTGACCTAAGGAGCCCATGCTTAAGGGTTTAATTGGGGTCGAAATTGAGAAAGAAAGAAAAATTCCCTCCCTTTACTGTTGTTTGCTTTTAAAAAAATTCTTAGTCGAACGTAGGTCCTGGGCTTGGATTCGAGGTCCTTGTCCAGGACATCCCAGGTCCTGGACTCCGCGTGGAAAGGATCACCCCCCGCGCAAAGCCAATTTGTCCTGCCCACCGGGACACACGGCCTAAGGACCGAAGGTGTCGCGGGGGCCGAACAACTATTCCTTCAACCGTGCAATATCGTGAGGGGCTCAACCGACACGATACTTCGAGATTGACACTTGAGTGTCATAAGCGGTACGCGGATCCACGAGGGACCTTTGATTATGGGCACTACATAGTACGTCATCATTGCGGCTGCTTGCGTATTCATGCATTGCTAGTCGATATGGGAAGTACACTTACGTGACAATCACGGAAAGACAAGCGAAAAAACGTCAAACCAGTAAAGATCAAGTGCAACACACGTCAGCTGAGCAACAAAGGTAGGAAAGGAGGAACAGAGGCAAGGAGGAAAAGAGACTGAACACGAAGAGTCTATGAAAAACCAGAATGCAACTTCCATTAAAGATAAGCTTGACAGAGCATAACGATTTCTCGCTTGGCATTGACCCGACCGGTTTCGTGCAGCCGCCAAACTGCGCTCATCAGGGGGCTTCAGAAGTCGTGTCGAATAACTGTTCGCAGACCTCTTATATGTTCAGTTACGTCTAAAAGCCTGTCAAAAGTCTATTCTAAAAAGCCGGTACACTATGAAAAAAATCAAGAAAAAATTGAGAACCCTTAAAAACGAAAAAAGAGAAAGAAAAAGAACCTACTACCGTAGTGCAACTAGCCCAAGCGCCCGGGTCAATCGTACGAAAAAGAAAAAAAAAAAGAGAAACAAAAAAAGAAAACTCGTCCGTAAGAGGCTCAAACAACCCTAGCTCCAAAAACCCAATACTACCCCCATCATGTCCTTCACAACCAAATATCAGGTCCAAAGAAAAAACCCCAAAAAAATATTACCCCTCCTAATTCTTCAAACCGGTCCTAAGGACGGACCCGACTACAGACCCCTTCAAGTTCGTTAAAAACGGTAACCAATCGCTCCAAATTCCCCCAAACATCCGCGAAAAGTTGACCAAAGCCGTGTCAAACAGGTGGTCCGGGTAATCTCTCTTCCATAATTCATATTTAAGCGCCATTAAGAATCTCAGTTCCATTCTCTCGATCGAAGTGTAATACTTGGCCCTGTGTAAGAACGACCCAATAACGATTATTTTTTGTTGCCTGTTCGGAAAAAAAACATAGTCCTGCAGACATTGAAAAACAAAACCCTCCTGCGAAATACTCTTCTGATTTTTCATAACCGGACAGCAAATCACCCCAACACCTCCTTGTACGATCCTCAACTCACAACCCAGATAGACCCACGAGCAACCAGTACTCGTCTGCGAAAGAAAAACGGAAAACCCACTTCTTTTTCAAGATGAGAGGAAAGTACATGAACTTTGGAAAAGCAAACGGAACCTACGGATGGAGAACATTAAAAATTGAGTGCCTAATGGATCTGTTTTACTATGACATCAAACACACATACTTCAAACTTCAAAGTACAAGGAACATTATTATGCCAAGTAATGGGGATACCAATGGGGAAGGGCTCTATCCCACCCATTGCCAACATGGTATACGCGTTCGACGAGTACAGATGGTGTGCGCAAACTGGAATTTATGAGAAACTTATCCACGATATGAGTTTTGTGGACGATGTAATGATGATCATAATAGCAAGTAAGGAAGATCAAACGAAAGAGTTGAAATGTCTGAAATCTTTTCAAACATGCTACCACCAATCTCTAAAACTTGAAATCATATCAGACAACGCGAACATAGAATGAACATATCTGGAAACAAGGGTGACGAAATCAATCAACGAACAAAATCATAAGATATGATGAAAGTAGCTCCAGATTGAAGGCATGTTGGAAATCGACGACGACAAGGACAACACAGAGAGAGACTGCGGGAGATCATGAGGATAGATGATGAGTACACTGCAAGGATAGGGAAAGTGGCGGAGAAGGACTGGGAACGAAGGGTATAAATAATGAGGATAATGGCTGAAATGGTTACCTGAGCAGTCAGGTAGAAGGGTAATCGCGACTGGTCTCGCATGCCATGGACATTACGTGTATGTTGTGAAAGTAAAACCTCGCACGTTCTGTCTACATTTGCATGTGTTTATCTTTCTCTCTCTCTCTCTCTCTCTCTCTCTCTCTCTCTCTCTCTCTCTCTCTCTCTCTCTCTTATCAACAAATGGAACAAAACTCTCTNCTCTCTCTCTCTCTTGTAGCCCCCCCCTCCCTCTCTCTCTATTTCTTTCTCTCTCTCACACTCATAACAATAAATGGAACAAAACTCACTCTCTCTCTCTCTCTCTCTCTCTCTCTCTCTCTTTCTCTCTCTCTCTCTCGTGTTAGCTCTTAGTCTCATTGATTTGGCTACCTTAGGGCTGCGTTCCCCGCGCCCACGCGGTAGACAATTTAAATTTGTTTTTCCCCAACCAGACTGCCAGTACATCGCTCAAACCCTCAACCCTCAAACCCTCAAACCCTAAACCCTAAACCCTAAAGCCCAGAGCCCTAGGGGGTTGGGGAGCAGGGGGGTGACGATTGCAAAACCCTCAACCCTCAACCCCTCAAACCCTAAACCCTAAAACCCTAAACCCAATGTATCTTTTTTGTGCTTCCTTCTTCTGTGGCCCTCTTTTGTCAGTTGCCTGCAATTTGGGCAGAGGCTGAGTGGCACGTCGGAACGCAGGACAGGGCTGTCGAGGTCGCGCTTGGCGTAATCCCGCATCTCCTGGGTAGCCTGCCCACTCTGCCGATATACATGCTGTCGGTAAGCTCAGTGGTGGAGGTCCTGCTGAAAGAATGTGAGAAAGAGATGCTTACGGAGAAAGAGCAAGAGGAGCGAAAGGTCAGAAAGAGCGAATTGCGAGGCTGCAAAAGAAAGCTTAAGCTTGTGAAAAAGCTCCTGCAACATCTCAACAGAATTTCAACAAGAATTGGTATGTTGCCTCGTGATTATTTTCCCGGGTACACACTCGCTTGTCAAGGCCCAATAGAGTGTCGTTATCTAGCAGATTACCGTCTTCTTTTTTTTGTCGAACAGGGCTTTGTGGTCCCGGCTCCTAACGCGTCTAAATCCCATGCATTGGAACTGCCGCCGAAGGATGCATTATTACTGTCTTGACCCAAATTTAAGGCACCCGCTCACAATCATGACAATATCCAAGCTGTCTTATACAACTCTATATTCACCATGAAGTAACACAAAATTTTCTTTTTCTTTTGTTGAGGGTGTTTGTTTTAATAATCATGAAATATGTATTTGTGTTGTTTGTTTTGGTGTCATCTTATATCCACTGATTCAAATCAATGTGCGAACTGGTGCGAGTTACGGGAATGACAACCCTGCCCCCGGACACGACATGATACGAATAGGCTATGCTAGCAATCACCCCGGTTGGTGTCAGGGGCTGTCTTAGGTGAGGCTTTGGTCAGGGTACGACCAGTAGACATTGCCTGGGGTAGCCCTGTCGAGTGTACGTCCGCTGTCAGACCAACCCCGGGGGCTGCTCATAGAAAAGTGTATTCGACAATCAGGCTTGGTGCCCGTATGACAAGGCTCGTTCGATAGTGCTTCAACTGGGGCTGGGAGGGCTGTCCTGGCTGGCCTAGCACTGGTGCCTGCAACTGTTGTCCGGTATATCCGAGGTAGGGGGGCCAACAGTGGCCCTGTAGATGGAGAACAGGGGTTACACTAAGGAAAGAAGAACGTGGAGGCAGGAAGGGGTGGGTCCTCTCTGAGCGCACACACACACACACACACACACACACACACACACACACACACACACACACACACACACACACACACTCACACTTATAAAAAAAAAAAAAAAAAAAGGTTGCCCATCTGCCTTCTGGTCTGTGTGACCTCGCCAGGGTTGGTACATTTCAGGACTCCATTTTGAGACAATCGGTCCAACTTGTGGCTCCCCTTTGTAACTTGAAGGGACAGTTCCAAAGCTCGCTAACTCCGCATTAACCACAGTTGGCGTACATTGCCGTGCAAGTTGCCCAAGTGGTAGACACTGAGGTGCAACTTGTGGTCACTGGGGTAGGGGATTGGATTGGGGGAGAGTAAAGGTACGTCGGGCAGAAGTGGTAGACACTGAGGTAGGAACGGGGGAATAGCGGGTGCGCCGGGGAGAATTGACAAGAGGAACGGTGGGGAGGGGTCCTTATGAGGCGTACAACCCTATATAATAAAAACAAAGAAAAAGAAGCCAACTACGCCCGCCCATATTGCCACACATGAGTTCCAAATAGGGAAAAAAAAAAAACAAAAAAAAAACATGTTGTTTTTCGGCAAGTCGCTCACGCCTAAGTTCAAAAAGCCAATAAAAGAGTCGCGGCAGTTTCTAATAAAAGCTTGGATGCATGAACTAAGCTTGGACGCATTAACTACAGTGGCAGGCCATGGTGTGCGGAGGGCCTGAGCTCAGAAAGGACAAGTCGACAACAACAAAAAAGTTAGAAAAATGCCGCTACGTTTGCTATTTTCAAGATGATAGTATTTTGTCCTTATTCCAAAGGACAGGACAGTTCCAAACCTCCAAAGTCCACATAACCACAGTTGGCGTACAAATGGCTCTTTGTGTCTCAGCTGTGGTTAATGCCAGTGGCAGTTAGCTCTCCAGCTGTACGCCAGTTCTACACCAGCGTTCCCCAAAAGCCCATTCAAGGTCCAGAAGGCTAACGTAGAGTTGGTGCTGAAGTAGGTAAGGAGTTACTGAGGGCATAATCACATGAGGACTTTCCTGGATGTATCTGACTGCATTTACAGCCGGGACCTGGATGCACCTGGCCGCAGTCACGTCAATAGAAAAGTTGAAAAGTTCCAGTGTCAGTTTTCCCTAAAGAAAATATAAGGATGGTCACAGCTTCCCACAGAGGCAGTGTTTTTTTTTTTTTTTTTTTTCCAGCCCTCTACCTGGAACTCAAACCATGACTGAGACGTAGTTGTTTCTTGAACAAGCATCTTGTTATATGTTGCTGATTTCACTCAAACATGGTCTGAAAATGATGGAGACCACAGCTTCGCAAGTCCTACCCTCTTCACCTGAAGAGAACACCCAGTAATTCTTGCTGCATCTGGACTGAAAGTTGTGCCAAATGCACAGCTATAATGACCGGGCATTCTATTCTGGTGAAGACCGTAGCTGCACATGAATTAGGGCTAGGCCGTGTGTGCACGGCGGGGCCTGGTGCCCCTAAATGCGTGTTGTTCAGTACCTACTGTGAAGGCGGCTGTGGAACCCGTGGGCAAGTTGGCCCGCCTTGGAGTGACCAGGTTAAGTAGCGGTGGTGGGGCTGCTTGTTGTCCGAGCGGAGTGTGTTGATTGCCGTGTCCGTGGTGTAGCATGGTGTGTGTGAGCGGTGGTGGGGCTGCGTATTGTCCGAGAGGAGTGTGTTGATTTCCGTGTCCGTGGTGTGGTGTTGTGTGTGTGAGCGGTGGGGCTGCGTATTGTCCGAGCGGAGTGTGTTCATTGCCATGTCCGTGGTGTGGTGTTGTGTGTGTGTGTGGTGGGGGGGGGAGGGGGAGGGGGGTTGAGTTCAAAGACGCTACAGCCCTGGAGGTGGGGTTGGGCTGGATATGAAGACCGGTATGGATCCAGTTTTTGTAACACCTCCAAGGGTTGGAGTGGTTACGAGACTTCCGTTCTTGAGGCGGAGGGTGCCGATTCGAGGCCGTCCATGCACGGCAGGGCATGATGCCCTAAACACACGTTGTTCAGAACTACAGGGAAGCGCCGGCGTGTTTCTAGCATAGAAACATCCCTTGAACCTGTCTCTTATACACATCTAGATGTGTATAAGAGACAGTGTCAGTCCTTAGCTGCTGCCTTTTTTTTTTTCTTTCTTTTTTTTGCATTTCAGTGTGAGAGCATAATACTGGTGACGATGCAGGTTCCATAGTTTTTTTTTTCCCCGGCAGGCTGAACTCCCAGCTTAATTTGGTCCCATTGTGCATGTACAACAGCGCCCATTAACGACGGGCGTCTTTCCGAGTTAGTTTTTCTGTGTATTGTTTCTAACTTTCTATGACTACCCGCTTCGCGCGAATAGAATGTCGGTCATTGTTGCTGTATCTGGACTGGAAATTGCACCAAATAAATGACCGGGCGTTCGTTAGTGCGAAGTAACCGGAGCATACATTATATGCTTGGCAGAATAGATTGCATTTTGCCCCATTACCCCTAGCTGTGTCTTGTCAGTGTTAAGAAAAAAAAAGAAAAAAAAAAGAAGAAAAAAAAAAGATTGGACTTTGAACCACAAGGCTATTCTGGGAGTTGGTGGCTTTGGTAATGGAGAGTGTGGGGAAGGGTTATCTGCTCTGAAACGCGAGGAGGTGGGTGGGTGGGTGGGTGTTGCGGGGCCTTTGTTTGTAGTTGGGGGTCTGTGAGCACAGGCCCCTGCCGCGAGGGTGGCAGGGCGGGTTGGCAGGGGTTTGGTGGTAAATTTGGATGAATAGAGGACATAATAATGATTGAGTAATATTGGCTGTGTGTTTCCTTTTTGTGATTTTTTTTTTACACGGGGTTCGAGGTGAGCGGTCCTCCTGTTTTTGGGTTTGACCGATGATGTCTTGCCCCTGAACAGGACCGCWGWATTTTTGTGAGGSACGCCAGGYCCGTTTCCTGGCATTGTAATGTAATGAATGCCGGGCACGTTCCCGGCTTCGAGGGGTGGGAAAAAAAAAAAAAAAAAAAAAAAAAAAAA